ATAGTCCGTACCTACCTCTAGGTTTGAACAGGACGGTGGGTGGAAGGCGTCTTGACTTCACGTGTTTGTGGCTCCCCTGTAGCCTGATCACTCTTGAAGTTCCTGCGGAGTGTGGTGTGATCCTAGTGTCAGAAAGAGGAGCAGAGGTGGTGACCCACCATCTGACCATCAGGGAGGCGAGAGAATGGATTGCTGAGCAGGCAAGGCTGGCCGCAAAAGTGGGAGCTGGCTTCCACTAGAGCAGTTCATCTGTTTTTGGGTTTAGACTGTGTACACCTTTCAGAAAGTTTATTTTTAAGGGCTTATGGTGCTGTGGCACGAAACAGTTGATTCCTACCAGTGCCATCGGAACACATGGGAGGCACTAGAAATGATTATTAAATCAGTGGACAGTTTTATTATCTCGTGGAATGTTTAAATGCCACGTCAGTCCCGTTTTATTATGATGATTTAAAAATTGGGGATATCCTTCTTTGGGATTATGGATTTTTCTTTTTTTTAACATTTTTTTATTGATTTATAATCATTTTACAATGTTGTGTCAAATTCCAGTGTTCACAATTTTTCAGTCATTCATGGACATATACACACTCATTGTCACATTTTTTTCTCTGTGAGTTATCATAACATTTTGTGTATATTTCCCTGTGCTATACAGTGTAATCTTGTTTATCTATTCTACAATTTTAAAATCCCAGTTTATCCCTCTGAGCCTCCCTTATTCTGTTACCATCCCTAACTGGTTTAGGATCACACCCTCTCGAACCCTGTTCAGAGAGTGTGGACTAGGTATTTGGAAGCAGGGTGCCATGAGGGGCTCCCATCACTGCATTCCATTTGCAGTTTACAGCTTCATTTTTTTTTCCTTTTTACAACCTAAGATGCTCATACTTCTTTATTTGTGATTAATTATGCCCAATTAATTTCTTTTTCTTTCTCTGCTGGATTCTCAGAATTGTCCCAAGTTTTAGAGGAAAAAAACGGACTGGTCCCATTCCTTCTGGTGCCCCCTGAGCCCTGTGCTTGAATACAATGAGGTCACTTTGTTGAAGGATTAACTTTATATTACATTCTTGCAGAGTAGATGTATGTCCCTAAGGTACCACTACCCCCACTGACGAAAATAAATATACCATTCTTTATGATTCCTCCCCATTACCCTCTCTGTTGACTTTCAGAGAGTTTATGAATAGTCACATATTTATACAACTGGCCAAAAGTACACTACTTATTTTTCTTATGGTCTGTAATAACCTAGGCAAGGTTATTAAAGGGTATACAGACCCCCTTTTAAGGCAGAGTTTCTTATGTCATTACTTTATACAAGCAGGTCAGATTCCATCTCAGCAACAATCTCTTGCTTTTAACCTTTTTCTCTGATTATAAAAGTAATATATGTTCATTGTGGAAAATGTAGACAACACGCAGCAGAAAGAGGAGGAAAAGCACTTTAAGACCCACTTCTTAGAAATAACTACTAGTATTCTAGTTTATACACAGAAACCTTTTCTTTATTCTCTGTGTATGTTCATTTAAAGAAAAGTGTTCACCCTGTAACATGCTCTTGTAATCTGCTTCTTGATGTAGCAATGGATTATACGCCAGCAAATATTTTTTTCCCCAAAAGCATTGCTTTTGAAGACTGCATCATATTCCAGTGAGTGGGCTGTAATTTAACCAGCCCCAGCCTTAGACATTTCATCCGGTTTCAGGTTTTTTGTTTTTGGGTTTTTTTTTTAAGTAAGAGTCTTAATCAGATGGCTCCACTCACTCAGTAACTGATTTGATTTTTTTCTCCAGTTAGTGCAATCAGAGAAATCATCATGCACCTTTGAATGTTTTTTAACATATTTTATTGATTTATAATCATTTTACAGTGTTGTGTCGTGCACCTTTGAATTTGACAACAAGCTTTTTCTTGCGTCTTTACTGGTACCTTTGTTTACAGCACTGGACGAGGCCAACATAATATTCAATACCTAAACTGATGGCAGGTTAATATATTTAAATATATGAGCATAGAGCAAATCCTAAAGGCATGGGAAATAAAAAGCCTTTGTCCCTCTCTCTGAAGTATTTCCTCTCTCAGAGCATACTTCCATACACTAGATGCTTATTTCTCTTTGAATAATGAGTTTAATATATCTAATTCAATTACTCTTCATGGCAGCACAATGACTTCTCCTCAGCTCTTTAGCTATTAGTTCCATATGATATTTGAATCAGTTCTTTTAATTGCAGGTGTTAGACATCGGTCATTCGGCTGTGCGTTGTCCCTATGGCCAGAGGAACGCATCCTTCCCCCCAGTACATCAGACAGTCATTCGGTTAACAACCGTGGGTTTCTTGACACCATGGAAATTAATTCATTATGCAAACAACTGAAGGGGTGGGTCAGCAATTCAAGTTTTATTGGTGGCTTACACTGAAAAATAAAGCCAAGAATTAGAATTTTCAGGATGCTGAATTTATATCCTCAGGTATTAAAATGATACATTTAATTGTCGGAAGCTGCTTTTATGGTTAAGCTTCTTTGCTGGCAATTAGCATTATGGGTGGGAGACGGATGTGATGTACAACTTAAACCTAGGTGCTCATTCGTGTCACTCTCGTGCGTTTCTTGATTAAATACCGTGGATTTTACGAGTAACAGCTTTCCTGCATAAAGAATTCCATGGCTTTCTCTCTACAAGTCTAACCTGGGAAAAAAAAAAGAAAAAGAAAAAAAAAAAGAATTCTTCTCCAGGGTTTAGAAAGTAATTCATAAAAAGAGGGGAATAATAAATATTGTGTCCGAACTCATATGCCAGAATAGACAGTGGGACTTGGTACACCTGGGTGTCGTTTTAGTTCATTTCCACAACAGACAGGTTGAAAGTTTACTGTTTGGAAGGAGAGAGGGGGGGAGATGGCTAAACCTCCTATTTGCAAAAATGATTACATTATCTTAAATGAAAATGCTGCTCTATTAGCAACTTCAACAAGCCTTGCATTTGAGGGGGGGAAAAAATCTCTTTAATGAAAAGTTACCTGAAGTTCACTCTAACTTAAAATATACAAGTGAGGAAAAAGTACTTAGTCTGATTTATGTCTCTTTTGGAGGGGTAATTATTGGCTTTTTACTCACCTATGTAAAACAATGTACTTTTGTAAATGGATTTCTGGCCACTTTATGCAGTCCTTTTTTTTTTTCCTCCTTTTTTTTTTTCCTTACATAAAAAGTAAGCACTGTCAATCAAGGAATTTTAAGGTTTATTTCCTCTTTAGAAATGATTGATAGCCTTTTAGATTTACAAGTTGACAAGTTAAAGGGTTCTACTGGTATAATTATGTACTAAATTCACAGTCTTTCAATTTAAATGTCCTTTTAAAACCACAAGATTATCATACCTGTATTTTGAAAAGTGGGCCAGTCAGTTTGGGTTGGTATACAAATTGCTTCCATTAGCCTTGGGACCTATTTGAATTTAATACCGTTTTTTTAAAGTTAGTGGTAGTACGAATCTTACTTTTAAAATTTAGGTTAATGGAAATGCATTTCAAGTCAAGCACGTGGCAACTTGTTTTCTAAATGTATAGATAAACGCCAGAACTACAAAGGCTGTCTTTTTATTCAGTATGGGAGAAAATGTGCGGTTGAATCCTTTGCTTACAGGCAAAAAGAAAGGGAAAGAAAAAAGCCACCCGCCTACCCACAGCTTAGAGGACGTGGGGGACGCGGGTAGAGGGCAGGGCTGCCATCCTTTCCTGGGCAGGGGAGGAAGGCTGAAGACATCTCATATCTTGGGGAGGAATTTCAAAACTGACACAGCAGAGTCCACTTTGTGTTGAGTTCAAGGATGCTTTGAGGAAGGCATCGTCAGCATAGGTACCAGAAGGCCCAGTGTCTCCCAATCCTACTGCAGGGCTGCTCTTCTGTTAGTCTTTCTAAGAGTTCTTCTTGGAGACCCAGCTGCTCTGTGCTAGTGCCCAACAGAGGTTAGTCTCTTCCTTGAAATAGTATTGATGTTGGTGAATTGGTCTGTCATCTTGGATGTGAGGGTGCTGTGTCAAGGGCATTCCCATCCCTGTCTCTTTTTTAGATTCTCCCAAGGGTAGAATAGGCTTTTTACACTGAGAAGATCCAGTTTCCTCTGCCCCTCAGCACACGCTTGCAGGCTTACTGGCCACAGATGACACCGAGAGGGTGTATCAGCTGAGGTCTGCTAGAGATTCTGCAGCTAAGCAAAGACATTATTATTAATTATTACCTTTATTGTGGTATGGTTCCTCTACAGTAAACTACACATATTTCAAATGTACAATTTGATGAATTTTGATAGATGTGTACCCCAGGGAAACCTCCACCACAATCAAGATAGCTAAGATGTCCATCACTCCCCAAGACGTACAATTTCTGAATTCCCAATTTATCCCTTCCCACTCCCTTTCCCCCCCAGGTAACCGTAAGTTTGTTCTCTCTGTCTGCGAGTCTGTGTTTTGTAGTTAAGTTCTTTTGTGTCCTTTTTTTTAGATTCCACATATAAGCGATGTCATATGGTACTTGTCTTTCTCTTTCTGGCTCACTTCCCTTTGCTAAGCAAGTACTTTTAATTCTGCTGTTCACCACCTGTAGATGCCCTTGGGCTTGCCCTTGGACAAGCCCTCTAGTGTTTTGACCTAAGCTTCAGACTTAAGGGAATCCCAAAACCTGACATCAAGTTCCATTTCACTTTCTATTTTCAACAACGGAAGGAATGTAGAATTTGGCCAGAAGAGCAGAGTTCAGGACCTGCTACTCGCGGGCTTTTGAGTGAGTCAGTCCCCACCATGGCAAGCGGCAGAAGTGGATGGTGGAAGTATTCATGAAAAGGGATCATTCGTCCAATCATTTTACGATCTAATTCAAAAGTATCCATGAAACTTTGGACTTCCCAGTTATTTCTGTGCCGTCAGTGTTGCAAATCATGCGTTGTTTTATTTCTTGAAATTGTTCTAATTGTGTGACTTCTCCATCGCAGCGCTCAACGAGCCCACCATCGATTACGGCTTCCAGAGGTTGCAGAAGGTTATTCCCCGGCACCCTGGCGACCCCGAGCGTTTGCCGAAGGTCAGTCTGTCTCCTCTTTGGGTTATGGTCTCTGAAAACTTGGGCTTGGTTGATTGGCAGAAAACTTTGCCATTGATAAAAAATTAGTTCATAGATCAGCAACTCAGTATTTTTGTGCTTTGTGGGTTTAATATTTATTCTAAGGTAAGCAATAATACGGTAGCAAGCACTTCTGTGCCAGGTAATATATATTTTATGTATGTATTTATTTTTATGTATATACTGTCATTTCTGCCTCTCAAAAGCCCTCTGAGGTTGGTACTGTTACCCCCTCTATTTTAGAGGATACAGTAACCATAGATAGAGGTTGAATCATTTGCCCAAGTTCACACAGCATGTAAATTGCAAGACTGAGGTTCAAACTCACACAGCCTGGCTTCCAAAGTCCAGGTTATTAATCACCACATCCCATCAATTCTCGAGGGGAAAAAGAACATTGCCTTTTTTACCCCCTGAGGATCTTTACTTATTCCTGGTGAGGGGGCGAACAGCTGGCGCTCCCAAGAAAACATACTGGCAGCTCTCGCAACCGGGCAATTAGGACATGAGCCTCGTACCTCCGGAGGCATCCAACCTCGCAGGGAAATAAGGCGCAAGTGAGAGAAATTAGATACAATTTCAAGACAGAGAAATAAGTGTCATACGGCGCTCGCTATGTCATCAATTGCCAATGCACAAGACGGGCAATGCACATTTATTGATTTCTCTTCTGTACTTGTCATCCACGTTGGGGTCCACCTCTGCCCCCGAAACTGATGCACAGACTGAGGGGCCGGCAGGGTGGGTGAGGGGCGCGACGAGCCTGGAGAAGGTGAAACTGTGACAGGCAGAGCCTGTCTTCTCCTGGGCCGCAGGGGAGGAGCCACACTCCATCTCAACCCCGAGTTCCCGCAGCAGCCTTGCCCCCTCTGAGCGCTGCTGACCTTGGAGAAGCTCCTTGAGAGCATTCCACCTGAGGGAGAAACCCTGTGATGCGTGGTCTGTTCGCAGCCTTGTCTTTGAAAGGGGCCTCCATCTTACACGGCCTCTCACCCTGGCTCATTCTTGGTGAGCAGTGAAAGAATCGGACAATAATAGCGGACGACCCTCTCCTTCCACAGCACAGACTAGCCATGGAGACCGTTACCTGCAGGCTCCTGTGTCTGGCACGATCTCAGCTCCCACCTGTTTCCTGTGGGACAATCAACGGTAATTTGGTAGCACAGAGGCGTCAATAATGTGTCCACCTCATGGTCAGTGCCTGTGGTGTCCCCATGGTAGGAAGAGGCCATGCGTGGATTGCCAGACTCTTCCCACTGCTTCCATTTGGGCACCGACCGTTTTCACTTTCATTTGGGATTTGATGTCTCTAGAGTCTGCAGACGGGACTGGAGAGTCAGATCGGGCGAGGGGGGACTCAGAGTGCCCGCACCTGCCAGCTCTGCATTCGGGGTCAGAATTCTTCCCACCACCCCCCCCAGAACTATTTCTCTCTCTGTGCGTCAATTTCCTTCTCTGTCAAATGGAGATGATAATATTTCCTACTTTGGGGGTTTGTCTTTATCATCACTTATTTAGCACTCAACAAGAGGTAGCTGTGATTACTTGCCAGCAGGGCGAGAGTGGGACCCTGGCTTCTGAGAGCTCTCCTAATAACCAATCTCTGGAGACCAGGAAATCATCATCCTGGTCAGCAGCTGAGTGTGAGGTTTATCTTCTGTGCCTCAGTTTCTTCATCTATAAAATGGGGGTAATAATTGTGCCGACCTCGGCGGGATCACATAAAGAAAAGAAGGGGTAATCTCGTGGGTGCCTCGGCATAGTTTCTGGTCCACAATTGCCACTCTATAAATACTTACTGAAAAATAGGAGACAAATTTGGTTTAATGGCTGAGGTCTGAGGCAGCCAAGTGGTACTTTTCTTATTCATCAAGAAAGAAGAGAAACAGGAATATATAGTTGAGTTTTGTGTACTTACTTTAGAAACCATTTTCCTGGTTGCACATCATGTTCAGAAACGTTGAACAAATAGCATGGGCACGTGTCCCTCCGTCCCCGGTGGCCTGGTGCTGCAATTCCCAGCCCCTTTTTCCTGGGTTTGGGAAGAGTAATCAAGGACACAATGGGTTTGTGTGTTAAGGAAACACCCCACAGCTTGCATCCAGCCACTTGACCGTGCAAGGGCTTTGGCCGGAGCCCACCCCAGGAAGCGCTCGGTGTGACTCAGATCAGAGTGGTGTCCTCCTGGCTCCAGATGGGGAGGTGGAGTGAGAGTTCAAGAGCAAGGTCAGGGAGGGGCGGATGGAGCCAGCACGAGGTGTTCCTGTGTTGGACCTGGGAGGTTTACACTCCGCGGTCCATTGTTAGGGGGATAAAACGGGCTCCGCCTTTCTCAGAATCGTGGTCAGTGTTTGTCAAACAGGAGTGTTTCAGTGAGCCGGGGACCACACACCTTAAAAAACAAACTCCGCTTTATTAAACCCATGTGTTTGTGAATAGACAAAGCTAGATTCATACAACCACCCACATATTCTGTCAAATGAAACTGCGCCCAAGACCAAGCAGACAGCTCTCCGTAATAATGTGCCTTTGTCCACTGGCTGGGGCTGTTTTCAAAGACCTCGTACAGGCTCTGTTTTATTGGAGCCCCTCTTGTGAGACGAGTCAGGAGAGCAGCATCATCCCCGTTTACCGTGTGGGAACGGGAGCGAGCCGACCCCTTCTCTGTAAATTATTTCGTCCCTGAAAGTCACCGTCAGTGATCGTTGCTGCGCACACAGATTTGAAATACTGTAATTACGCTCACCCCAGATGTCTCTTGGTTTCCTTTTTCATAAGCGCGTGGAGAAGGGCAGGCTGAGGTTTTTAAGTGGCGACATTCTGTTCTGTGTCACACAGAAGGGAGAGGAACACGTGACCAACTTTGGGGCGAAGGTTGACTTTTCTTATAATATCGAGGTGAGCGGGTAGGGGCCGTGGTCAGTCGGAAACTTGGAGATGCTAAAATGCTAACATCCAGAAATGTTGGGCAAGGAGCTGTCTCTGATCTGAAGGCAGAGGTGTCTCTGTCCCCTTTCCCTTTGTTGGTGGTCAGCCTGAGTGGTCAGCGAGCATGAGCATGGCTGGCATTCCGGGCGTTAGCAGTGAATCCCAGGAAGCAGGTCATGCTCGGTTCGTGCCCAGTGGGTGCCTGGCATGGCTTTATCAAAGTTTCTGAAGAGCACAGGGGCCAAGAGAGTGGGCTTCCGGGTCAGGTGGACGTGGATTTTGGAAACCAGATGCACTGCCCCGTGCACGTGACCCAGCCTCCCCAGCCTCAGTCCCCAGCGTGCAAAGAGGTCTCTCTGGCATACAGGGTGACTTCATTAAACGGGGGCTACTGTCCCCTGCAAGGCGGCTACTTCCAGTTCACAGAGTCAAAGTTCCCAGCGGGCTGGTGACTTGCCACCATCACAGCAAGCAAGTGGGAGAACCCAGATTGGCACCCCGGTCCTCCAGCCTCACGGTTACCCCTGCTCCAAGTTCCCATTTCCCCGCCAGATCCAGAAGCCCAGATGACTCTGCCTTGATTAGCTTCTCTCTCCTGTCCCTCGTCTGCACCTCAGCCCCAACCTACTAAAACTCTCACCACTTGTCTTTCATTCCCCCACCGGGAGGGGTTGGCACAGGGACCTCCACAGGGCAGACACGTCTCTTCTCCAAGAGCCAGTCCCTCTTCCAGAGAAAGTAAAGCCGTTCGAGAAAAGTAACAGAGGCGGCATTTGTGTATTTTGCTTTATGGAGCTGAAAATATCTGGTAAATTGATCCAGTGGGAGTAATAAATACACATTACTTTATCTTGTTGCTCATGTCCTATACCCCTGAGCCTCGATACAACACCACCACTTAATAGACTTAAAAAAGAGTAATTACACTCATTGCTTGTGTGATTTTTCAGCCCTCCCAGCCCTGCCTGACCTTCTAATTTAGCTCACCGTGTCTAACTAATGCATTTATATTCATCTTTTATGAAGCATGTACAGTGCAGAGTTGACTTTAGAGCCTTTCTCAAGCTGTCCTCCCAGGTTCCCAAGCTGGTGAGTAGTCGGAAGAGCGGGCACTGCCGGTCCCCACAGCCCCGCACGGACAGACAGCCCAGACCCGCGGCTCGCAGCAAATTTTTTTTTTTTTAGCCTTTATGAAACATCATAAAAAGTATTTATTACATTTTTACTTTAAAGCTTTTATACATTCTAGCATTATTTACAGCTAAACATGCAGGCAAAAGAAGCCGAGTGTTTTAAAAATGATTACTGTTAATGTTTCTGCTTGTCAGAAGTGCTTAAATTTTCCTGCACTTTGTCTAAAAACTTAGTACTGTTGCCTTTTAAGAACAACACATTTAAAAGATCTCGCAAGTCAGATTTGCAAACACTGCTGACAGTCTGTGATGAATGATATTGCAAAATTTGCAAGATGTTTGTCGTTTTCGCACAGCCGACATATTAAGGGAACAGATTAAGAAACGCGAAACCCCTATGGAAAACAACCATCCCCAGCAAAAACCCAAACAAACCTCCACCGAACCTTGAACCCAGAGAGCACACGCTCCAGAATCTCTCACCCGGGTTCTCGCTCCCCACTTCCCCCTCCGCCAGTGGAACCCAATTGTTCTCAGTGCATTTTCTCTCACCATATGGTCTCCTCATTACCATACACTAAGAGTCCATATGGGAAACTTGTGAAATGAACTGTATTCATTTTAACTGCCAGATGAGCAGCCTTTTGCTTTGCAAGCTTAGCTTAAGTCATCTGCTGTCTTCGTGTTGTTATGGCAACACGGCACCAATAAAAAATTCTAATCTACTGTAAGTGATCACAGTATTTTAAGAGCTTGCCTATAACTGCCCTCAAAGCGGAGGGAGGAGGAAGGGTTATCTTTGTCCGAGGAGCAAAGGGTTGCTCTTCATTCCAGCAGGTGTCAGTAGAGAGGCTGGTGAGATGGAGAGTGAGGTGCTGGGGTGGCCGTGGTGCAGCAGGT